GTGAGGAAGATGATATGGCTGAGGATCAGATCTCGTTTGAGCAATTTAGGCTCTGATACCATGTAAAGTTATGTGTTTGCAAATCTTCATTGATGAAAAATACATACATCAGAGGGCTATTTGTAGCCATTTACAACAGATGGAAATGAGAAGATTATGGACCTAAACTAGGCAAGATACAACAATAATATATTGACCAAGAATAAATCAATTTCATTAAATTCAAATTATGAATTTGAATATTTTGATTGATCCGTAATATATTGAACATTATTGATATGTATTTAGTTTTACTAAGAAATAAACATCACTTTCTTTGATTTAATGTAGATTAGTTATTATTATTTAATTGATGGGTAATTGAACTTTATTGATATGGTTTTATGTTCTGTCACATACCATCGTACATGATAAAATTATGTTATTAACTTAGTGCTAGCCGGCTCATTCGATCCACGCACATTTTGTGAGTTCCCCTACTAAACATTTTGACTCTAATGGAAAAACGACAAATATGATGATAACATGGTTTAGTTTTTTTAATTTTATGATAAAAAAAGTTAGATTTATTAATTTTAAACAACAAAATGGACTTTTCATCTTTATTAATAACTATTACTAAATATTTAATTAGAATTAGAATTTCATTTAAATAATATATCAAATTAAAATGATAATTTTTATAGATGATATCACTTAATTATTAAAATGAAAACTACAACAATAAATGAATTAGTTTTTTCCTTGGGTTAATAACTTAAAAGAGTAATATATTTTGTTTCATGTTCACATTAGGTGATAAATTTTTTGTATATATTTGATCATTGATCTTGTTTAACCTTTTAAAAAAGAGTAATATTGTTGATTGTTATATGTAACATTATCCTTTTGAACATGCGAACAAAATTCCATGGTTAAATACATACAAAAAAAAATAGTTGTCTAAATGTGAACATCAAACAAAGTATGTTACCTTTTTAAGTTATTAATCCACATACTTATTATTTTAAATCGTCTCAAATATGTTTTGGGTTTAGTTTCAAAATTTCTAATATTTTAGCCACTAAGATGCTATTTGTTTTTTGGTACGCAGACCATATATGCATATATTTACAAAAAAAGAGATGAACCAAATGGCTTCAATCTGCAAGAAAAAAACTTTTTGTTTTTTAACATTTGTAGGCTGCTAAAATAAAATGAAATATAAATAAACCGATTTTTTTTAAAACCAAAAGAGTTTTTCATCATTCAAATTTAAATAATTCTAGTTTTACAATACTGAAATATAATTCACACAACCAAAGTAACAATTTTTGTTTAAAAAAATATTCGGTCCATATAATTTGAAACCACATATTAGGTTGCTTGTATTGAGTAAATAACTCATCACTGAAACCATCTTTTCTAATAAGCTTATGAAGAGTGAAACATACAATGATAATGTTTCTTTGTATAACCAACAAAAATAATGACATCCTATTCAATTTATTGATATGTTTGAATCTAAGAAAAAATAACAAAATATTTTATAATTACAGTTTTCACCGTTTTCTATCTAAAATCAATGAGTTAATTATAGTATATTTCGTTTGGTATACCAATTTCTATGGAAATTTGTATCATGACACGAGTATGGTTAAAAACTCCAACCTAACCCAACCCCAATTAAATCTAATAGTAAATTACGTCGATATTGCGTGCTATCCGTATACAATATAACAAAAAAAACACTACATTAATTTGTATCTATTATAATCTTCACATAATTATTTACACATGAAAAACCTCCTATATTAAACACAAGAAACAAACAAACAAAAAAAAAATACATTCTTGTATATAAATCTTCTTGAAAAAAAATCTTAAAAAAGTAATTGGACGGTTTCAGAAAAAAGATGGTTTTAATTTGCACAAATTAATATAGTTGTTTTTTTTTTGGTAAATTGACATAAAATATTATGGCTCTATGATATTTACACATATTATATAAAAATCAATTAAGATATAGCCGTTCAAAAATTAAAAAAAGTAAAACATCTTTAATTATAGGGAAATCTCCAATAAAGTCCCAATATTTTAGACCAGTTTAATGTTTAATCACAAATTAATTTTTGTTTACAAAAAAAAGACAGATTAACAGCTAAAATTTCGAATTAACCCTTTGTGGTCGGTTTCATAGATTTAGCCAATATCTGGGGCTTTTTCATTAATTGATCATAATTTTGGGAATTTTTCATTATATTTTACTAATAACCAAAATATTAGGATTTTTTCTAAAAATTACCTTTAAACTAATGTATATTATATGATCTAAGTTAATTTGTACCATTCCCCGTCTTCTTTCCTGCGCTCTTTCTAGGCTCACATTGTGTTTTCGTCGTCGTCGTCAAACCCAACAACAAAAAGCTTATGTATAAGCATCGTTAACTCCATTGATTTTCTAAAAGCATCCATTCACAGCTCTAAGATCATCTTTCAATCTCCAAATGAAGAAATGAGAAAATATTTGTTGATCATGTGGATGTTCCTATTACCTATCCATGACTTGAACCATGGTTCCAACACTCGTATGTTCCTATTACCTAACCGTGACTCGTGCCATGGTTCGAATTCATACACTAATGGCATTGGCCATAGTGTTGTTAACAACAGAAGACGAATCTCCATGGTTCAATCACTGATACCTTGGCTCAAGTCTTACTTGATCATTGTTTCCCTACAAAAGGGCTAGAAAACCATGAAGAATGAACCATCGAGCTTAAAAAACTCAACATGGGTAAAAAACATAACATTTGACCTTTCTTCCTTTGGAGATTTAAAGATGATCTTAGAGTTGTGAATGGATGATTTTGGAAAATCGATGGAGTTAGCGATGCTTGTGAGTGAGCTTTTTGTTGTTGGGTTCAACGACGACGACAAAAACACAAGGTGAGCCTAGAAAGAGCGCAAGAAAGAAGACGGGGAATGTTACATATTAACTTAGATCATATAATATATATTTGTTTAAAGACAATCTTTAAAAAAGTCTCAATATTTTGGTTATTGGTAAAAAATAATGAAAAAGCCCTAAAATTTTGATCAATTAATGAAAAAACCCAAAAATTTGGATCAATTAACGAAAAATGAAGAGATACTGACTAAATCTGTGAAACCAGTCACAAAGGACTATTCTAAAGCCAGTAATCAATCTTTTTTTGTAAACAAATTTTAATTTGAGATTAAACCGTAAACGAACCCAAAATAATAGTACTTTATTGGAGATTTCATATATATATATATATATATATATATAATATATATATATATATATATATATATATATATATATATATATATATATATATATAATGCTTAAAAAATGTCTTGCAAGAAATGTTTTTCCTTCTAGACTTTGGTCCATATCATTTTGGAGAAAAGAAGGAACATATGTTTTGAGGTGTATGCTCTTCTAAAAAAACAAAGAATATGCAAGACCATTCACACGTAAATGTCTTCCCACCTGTAACTATAAGTCCTTAAAAGGAGTTTTTAAAATAAAAAATAAAAATAATAATTAAATAAATAAACACCACTTAACTCATCTCTAAACCGCTTACATTTGTGCTATTATATATATATATATATATATATATATATATATATATATATATATATATTAAATCTGAAAGATCTTATGAATAGTAACTTTCCATGTTTTTGGTTTTGACCACAAAACTTTACATGCTTTAGGGTTTGGCCACAACAAGTTTGGGAAATTGACAATTTTAATCCTTGGATTGCTTTGTTTTGTAGTTTTGGCCACAATAAGTTTGGGAGGTTGACAGTTTGGTCCTTGGATTGCTACCGTCTTAATATTTACTTAAGCAATCCCTGCTTTAAAATTATGTTTACATAAATGGTCCCTATAATTTATAGAAATGGTCCATATATTGATAAAAAATTACAGAAACGGTCGCTTTGTGATTTACACTTTTATCACATATCTTTTAAATTTTTTGATTTTCACCAAAAGCGGCGTAGCCGCGCTTTGTTTACTAGTTAATATTATAACCCAAAAATATAGGATAATTGAGCAAAATAACAATTATAAACGAGCTTTAAAAAAAACCATTCTTTTTCAGTTTTCAAAAACCGACCACTTACTTCCAAAGCTCTATTTTTTTTGACTTGATCTTCAAATTTTGGAGTTTTTTTTTTCAAAGAAATCTTTTTACTTATGTCCGAAATTTCTATTTTGAAGTGTTTAATATCATATTATTTCAATCAAATGTTTGATTTTATGACATAATCTCGTATATAGTTCACATTTACTAAGTAAGGATGATCATTTGGACCGTACCAAGGTATAAACATTTGGACCGAACCGAACCGGACCGCTCTTAGACCAGACCAATTTGACAAAAGTTAGTAGACCTTGGACTGGACCCGTTGAGGCTTACTGGTCGAACCTGTTGAGGCTTGAGGCTTACTGGTTAGGTACAGGTTCGAGTTTCCAGTTCTTGTTGGACCGGTACAACTTTAGGTGCATACGGTACAACACCTTGATGCCCTATCGAAAGTTACGACTATAGGGGTGAATATTTTGACCTGTTTGGTAGAAATTTGTGGACCTTGGACCGGACTGGTTAAGGCTTACTGAGTCCAGGTCAAGGTCCAAAAATCCAAATGCTCACCTGATCTCCATCTTGAAATTCAGGGTTTTTTTTTTCCCCAAAACTCCTAAATTTCAGTCCAAAATCCAGAATGTTTTTCTGAAATTCCGAAATCTCAGTCTAAATATATTTTTTTTGTTAAAAAAATGTTTTTTATCTCAAAATATAACTAAAATTTAAAATTAAAAAAAAAAAGACATGATGTACAATCACACTCTACCTTTTGTGGTTATAAAGGGACAACTCATATAAAAATGGATCCACAACAAAAAGTCAAAAACCGCAAGTAGCATCAAACATCAAAATAAAACAAACTAAAAGTTGATCTATATCGCTAGCAAAACCCCCCGCAAAACCAGCGAATAGAATCAAATATAAAAACAAAACAAGCTAAAACTTGATCAACATCGCTAGCAAAAAACCTCCAAATGTTCGCATTTTCAACGAGGGCATCACCAATCAAATTTATATCCCCATTATTCAATAAAGCTCCCACGTTTCTACCTTCGATAAGCCCCTACGGTGTTTTTGTTTGTGCGTCTGATAAACAAAGATAAAGCTCCTGAATATGAACAATGAAGGAAACGGCGGTTTAGGGGGAACAAGTGCCATGAATCCTACAAGCTTTGCGAATCTTTCAGAAGGCTGTGTGTCATATATTTTATCGTTCACTTCACCTCGTGAAGTGGGCAGAGCGTCGTCGATTTCTAGTGAATTCAAACGTTTCGCTAATTCTGACTTAGTCTGGGAGCGATTCCTGCCGTCCGATTACCTGGACATCATTTCTCGATCGTTTTCTCCGGTGGTATATTCATGCAAAAAAGAATTATACTTACGACTTTGTGATTCTCCGATCCTTATTGACGATGGCAAGATGGTAATTTCCTCATGTTTTAAAATCTTTCACTCTTTTAGTACAATATCCTTCCGGGTTCGATGTAGTTATCTGAGTTTCTTGTGTTCGGACAAAGTCATTATATTATGATCACGATTATTTGATTATTCGAAAGTCAAATAATCAGATTTGATCGCTTTCTATACCTGCTCCAGTAAAAGGAAAACTTAATTCTTTTATCCATTTTTTTACCATTATTACTACTCCAAACATAGAAGAAATCCGAAAACTGATTTTGATGGGAAAGGAATGAAGAATGCACTAGATATACATTCCGAAAGCTGGATCAAAACAACATACAAAAATGATGATGATGTTAATAGTGCCAACTCTACTTAGTATTATATATAAATATTACTATTACATCTACAAGAACTTCATAAAAAGTCGCCTTTTGTCTATTTTATTATGTTAATCGTATGAAATTTGTCATATAGCTGTGTTTCTAACCTGATTTTATAAATTATTGGGCACAGAGCTTCTCCCTTAATAAACAAAATGGAAAAAAATGTTTTGTTCTAGCAGCTAGGACGCTATGGATTGTATGGGGAGACACTTTAGTTTTCTGGAGATGGAGATCTTTTCCTGCATCAAGGTCACATTCTTAACTAATAACAAAATGGAAAAAAAAAGGTTTATGTCATGATCTAACAACCAACTATTTCGTCTATGTTCGTTTAGTCACTTTACTTATGTTCTAAGCAACTTGCAGGTTTAAAAAGGTAGCCGAGCTTCTAGCTGTCTGTTGGCTTCATATCCAGGGTGGGATGGAAACAAGAATGCTGACATTAGAGACTACTTATGCAGCATATCTTGTGTACAACATTTTGGAGACCTCTCATGGGCTTGACTTCAAAGGGAAGACAAATGTGATATATCATAGTGGAAGAGATGACGATGTGCCAACAACCTTGCATACAACTGTTTACTTGAAACCACCAAAAACGGGCGGGAGTTTGCATGGGACTGAAGATGGGGACGTGATGGGTGGGTCCCCGCAGAGGCGAGCGGATGGGTGGATGGAGATTGAGTTGGGGAAATTCTATAATGGAGATATTGATGGTTCTGTGGATATTTGGTTTTGCGAGACACGTGAACTTGGTTGGAAATCTGGGCTGATTGTTGAGGGTTTTGATATTCGTCCTATAGATCCGTGATGACAAAAATGGGAAAAGGAAAACTGTTCCAAATAACTTGGTTGCTATTTGTGATTCATTGAGCATAAGCTAAGAGAAGGGTATTAATGGTTGCAAGATTGGCCTAGGAGCCATTAACGCTCCTCAGTCGAACCACTTAGCAAATTGTTCTCGTGGTTATTTCTAAGTGTATTTATGTCTATTTGTCAAAGTGTTGGTTGTGCTAGAAAATTTAATAAAAATTATGTATTTTTGTTAAACTTTGAACACGTTTAAATGTAAATATATTGTATATATTATTAATCATTGGTGGCTTATGTTCTCATCCATGAGAGCTTCGAAACGATATATGATGTGTCCAAAACAGTGTATAAGTAAATGAGATATCGATACTAAACTTGAGTATTTGGAATAAAACAAAACAAATGGGTATGAAAATGTGTCCATGGTAGGAGTAAAAAGTAAGCTCTAAGTGAGTTTATAACCATGGTAATGTGAATGTCTACAAGCTTCTTTGTATGGTTTACTATAAGACCTATTCCGTATATAATCTTTTTACTCACCTCTTTGGCATCTTCTAAATTATTTAGCAGAATTTTTTTTTTACTTTTATTTACTAACAGGTTGTTAATCACATTTATCAAATTAATTCCAAACATACATTTTACAATAAAGAATCTAAAGAAAGAGAAAATTCTTAGAAACATTGTACGAGTACAAAGTACAAGAGACATTAAAAAAGAGAAAATTTCATCTGTAGATATATCTACAGGTTGTTAATCACATTATCAAATTAATTCCAAACATACATTTTACAATAAAGAATCTAAAGAAAGAGAAAATTCTTAGAAACATTGTACGAGTACAAAGTACAAGAGACATTAAAAAAGAGAAAATTTCATCTGTATCCTCTTAAACTTTAATCATTACGTCAATGTCATTGCATTCAAAAACCCCCACTTTTGTGACTACTTTCTACCTTACGCAAACATGTATAAGCATTTGTTTCGTGTATATGTGAATCGACCATGTTTTCCTTGTATTACATTTTAGTGCAATATAGCAGTGTTTTTGGAGTCATTTTGTACCATTTCATTTGTTGGGTTTGACGCCCCTAACAATACTACACCTTCCTTTGTATGTATAAATTATGTGTACATAATTGAGTAGCTTTTGCATTGTTCGTGCTTATGTTCCCTTTTGATATTGGATCAATTTCTTTGTATTCATACAATTGATCTATCAAAGAGCTTACAAGTTCATGTACATAATTTTTCACCTATTTCATTACACATTTAATAAAGAGTCATCATAGTGCGCAGCAGCAGTGCAGCCTGTGTTCCTGTGTTCCTGCTTACAGAATCATCCCTCAGCTCCATAAAGAAGGTCGATTCCCTGTAGAAGGTAAGTGCAGATCAAAAACCCACACAATACACTTTCCGTCTGTGAAATTTCCGTTTTTTTTGTAGTGTTTTATGTGATTTTGGTTTCTGGTGACCAGAGGTGAGAGCAACTTGATGAATTTTGGGATTTTTTCATAGATTTTTGAGGTTTGGTTATTGTACTTTACAGGTATAAACAATTTTTGTGTTCAAGCTTCTTTTAATTTTTATTTCCATGTCTGTGTGCAAGTTTTTTATTTTTTATGGTGTTGGATTTTCATTGCCCACCAGGTGTTTGATCATTTGCTTCACTGAGTTTTGGAATATTTGATTATCGGAGCAAGGTTTCCGTCTTCATGTGTGTGCCTTGCTCGTAAAGATGGTATGACTTGTCAATACGTTTTCTTACTTTTTAACTAAAAATTTTCTAGGTGAAAGGGGGTATTGGAGATATAGTTGAATAACATAGAGAAATACAAACTCCGAGAAGCTGTTAGGATGTGGGAATGATGAAAGCAAAGCCACTAAAGGTATGTCATTTCCTTTCATAATTACTTGATAAATGATGTTTTATTTATTCATTTAATTTTGTGTATTTTCTTACATCTGAAAATCTTTGATATATATTCCAAAATTGGGCAGGAATGTATTACATAGAATATACACTTCAGAATCCAGGGGTTTGTTTGAATGTTAGATAGAAATCATTGGGGTGTTTGGGTTTGTTTCATTTGATAGAAAACAATGGATGTTTGGATTGGGTGTTTGATAGGGAAGGGAAGGAAATGAAAAGCAGTTTTTTGGCTAATATACATATCAGAATGAGCAGTTTTTTGGCTAATATCTATTGGAATGGAATCAAGAATTCCAATTATGTTGGAATCGAATGACGAATTCCAATTCTGTTGGAATCACAGAAGTTGATGCTTGAAGAACGGACCACAAAATTGAAATGGACCTCATTATTCTTTTAGAATGTATTAGTCGTTGTTAGATTTTGATGTAATTATTAACAATTGTTACCCGTATTCTATAAGAAATAATGTATTTGTTGTTTTTATTCTTCAATTGATTGTTCAAGAATTTGTTATTCTACAAGAAGTTTTTAAATTCATGATAAAGAAATGGGTTCAAGAATATTTTTATTATTTATGGTTCAAGAATATTTTTATTTTTGAATATACTCATAAACATATTCTGTCAGAATGTCCGAATTAAAAGAATTATAATTCGTAAAATCGAATTTTTAAAATTAATAGAATCTATGATCCCTTAAAAACTACAATTTTCCTTTATTAAATCTATATTTATTGACTAAATTACCCTTGTAATTAATTAAGATGATTTTTTCAATTATATTTAATTCAATAATATGTATTAATCACTTTATTAAAATAAGTAAATTTGATTGGCCAACATTTATGAATACAATAACACAATAATTACTTTAAACAAAATAACTTAAGCCTATATATATATATATATATATATATATATATATATATATATATATATATATATCTATATATATATATATATATATGAATTACCCAAAAGTTTGAGCAATCCTTCTCTGATACCACTTAATAGATGGAATGACAAGATGACGATTTATTAAATGTGTAATGATTATATATATATATATATATATATATATATATATATATATATATATATATATATATATTAAATTCCAGATATGAATTAATTCGATTCTAATATCTTTTTTTTTTGTTAAAATTAGTCTCTTAAATCAATTGGCAATTTCGTTCCTGTTTTTAACAATAATGAAGATCTATGTCGATCATTAGAAGAAGGTCCTTTCACACCAAAAGTTTAGAATATATTTTGTGCTTTAGTTGATGATAAAGCTCTAAACTACAAAAAGATCATGAGTGCTAAAAGGTGCATGCATGAGCTTCACTTTGGACTTCCTTCAAATGTGTACACTCATGTTCACGGATGTATATTTGCAAAGGAAATCTAGGATTAACTGATGATTCAATATAAAGGAATTGACAAGCTAAAGAAAAGTGTCATAATGAACATCTTGTTAGAATTTAGTGAAAGTATAAGGAAGTAGAGTCTCTTGATATGGCATATGAAAATCTTAGTAATATAATGCAAAAACTTGATTGGTACAAAATAAGCAAAATTCCTCATGAAATCAATATCAGTTTATAAAATCTCTTCGTAAAGAATGGAAGTTTATTACTGTTATGTTAAAAATTCATGAAGACATTGATGCCTATTCTTTGAATGAATTGTTTAGCTTATTAAAATCTCATGAAGATGATGTTCTCGAATCCATTAATGAAAGGCCCATATGGAGTTCTGATTTCTCTTGTATCGAAATTGAGTCAACGTATGATGGAGTAATTTCTGATGAAGAAAATTTTGATTAGGATGAAGAGAATGAATCTGGAGATGAAGTTGCTCTCTATTCTAGTAATTAGGTTAAGAAGTTTAACGAAAAGCCAAATCTTGGTTCTGACAATTTTTGAAATAACAATAGTTCGAAGGTGAGCGTTATGGTTAAAAGTTTAAGTTCGATTCTTAAAGCTCGAAATCTGATAAAAAGCTTCTAAAAGACTAGGATATGATTGCAACTATTGCAATAACAAAAATCATCTTGTAAGGGACTGTATGTTGAAGAAGATGAAGAGAAAAGAAGAAGTCAAGGATGTTGCTTATTACTTGAAGAAAATTAAGGAACTTAAATCCAAACCTAAAATAATTTTGTTAGTTTTTTTTGACCAAAAAATAACTACATATCTCCTCTGTCAGGGATTGAACCTAGGACCTCCTACCGAGTAGTTAGATTAGAACCTCCATCCCAAGTTAGATTAGTTGTTATAGGGATGTTGAAGAAGGATGTTATCCATTCTGATCAACTGGATCAGATGATGATGAAATACGCCATCCAACACATGGTACAATGATAGCGAAACATGTTCTGAATAAGAAAGTGAAGAACTACGAAGGAAAATGTATGATGGATTCAAGTGGAAATTTAACTTCCAAATTAACATGTCCCGAATATATATCATCTCTACTTTAATATTTTAGTATTCTGATTTCAAGTTTAATATATGATTTTGTAAAATTGAGAACGACTACCTTTTATGGGAAAATTACTTGTTTCCTCAAGTAGTAAAGTAGGACATGCTAAGGAAGAAACCTTTATGGTGAAAACTTCTATTGGAGGATAAGAAAATGGTGTTATAGAAGTTAGAGAAAGAGATTAAGATTTTAAATGATTATAAGGTTATGCTTAAAAATGAAATTGATTTGTTGCTCAAACAAAGAAATATCTTGTGTATGGTAAATCTACTGAATTGACCCACAACTTGAGTGTGCTATGTGGAACTCATGAAATGACCCCCCATTTGCAAGATTATGTATTTTCAACATCTTGTCTTTATTCCACTTGTTTGACAATGGTGGGTCAATCCAAGGAAAAAATTACAGTCCATTTTTTTCAGCCTACATGATAGAAAATTACAACATGTAGAAATATTTCCTATTTTTATACCCTAAAACATAAGCTAGTGATAGAAAATAGGAAAATTCAATAGATTTATGTAACACCCAGCCAATCTGGTATTTCTATTATTAGCTAAGGTATAAAATTTGTCGCAAAAATGGTCCTTACGTCGGACGTACTTGGGGGCGCGATGAGCGTAAGTAGTTAAAAAGGGACGCAGGTGTTTATGAGTACGCATGGCATACTCAAAGGGTACGCAGGGCATACTTGGTTGTTATGAAAACCCTAAATCGGAGATTTTGAGCCCTATTTAAACACCTTAACCCTCATAAATCCCTTCCACCTTCATCCTCCATCCTCCTAAGCGACCCCTTGCAAACCCTAATATTCATTTAAGAGTTTTTGAGCTAATTAAGTGTTTTGTG